CACAATAGTCTTCGTATATGTTTATTTGTCAAAACATTAACAACTTTTTTATAAGCTGATTTATATTCAGCAGAATGAACTGCGATTGACCCAGCGGTACCAAGATTTGATTCCGGATTTATTGCAATGCTTTTTATGACTTTTATTTGCAGTAAAATGGCGGTCACGGAATCGAATATTGGTACCACTAAAGATTTGTTTACGGTTTTTAATTTGCATTTTATAGGAACTTTGAACGTTCACCTAAATAATGTTATAAGGGAAACATCACGAAAGTGATCTTAGAACTGGTAAACAGAAGACTCTTGTGTCTTGCGGTTATACAGCCCTTTTATGATTAGGTATTATTTTTTTGCACAATTGCATGATATCGAATTTGAGACTTGATATTACAATAAAATTATAATAAAAGTTTCTTTTGTTATGTACCGGTTTTATTTAAAACAAGATTTTAATATGATACATATTATTCAGATACAAAAAAAGAGTTGGAGAAAAGAGAGAGATGATAAAAGAGTTGGAAATATTTTCAATTAGGTCTCAAGGAAGGGTAAAGGGTATCTTTATTTAATTTAATCATTTGAGTATTTTGCATTTATTGAAGAAGCTTTTTTTATTGTGGGCAACAAGCTCTAGCTTTTTTATTATCGTAATACTGTAGAACTCCAGCTAATTCAAAACTAATATACCTAAAGGTTAAAAGAAATAAAATTATCAACGAACAATTAAAACAACTTATTAAAATATAGTTATAAAACCAACTAAGAAAACTTCAGGTACATCCGATCACTAAAACAACGGCCAACAAAGTTAATAATTTCATTTCATTTATGTATTCAACCATTTATGTTAAATTATGTACATACATTTGAATAACATATTTGTACAAGCTCGGATTCGAACTCGTAGTACCACGGTGTCATGTTTTCGTCACTCAAGGCCGAATAAAAATGGCGGTCTATAAATAGACCGGGGCTATAAATAGCCGAAACCGTTTTCAGTGGTTGGTTTCAGGAGATAAGAATGTTGAACTATTTCAGGGCGTTATCAATTAACCTTAATGCTTACATCAAAATCAAATTCAAAATTTAGAGACCAAATTGCCCTTGATATTGTTAGTACTATTTGACTAGTCAAAAGTCAAAGTCAAAATCATTTATTCCAACTAAACCATAAATAGTTACTTTTCAAACGTCAAAATAGAATAGTAGTCTGTCAGTCTGTTCGTCAGTGAAGCTAGGTGCTCGTTCCAAATTGTAGATTCGAATGGAGAAGAACGAGCACGAAACTCCATATCTACTATCGTGATGCCCGCAAAAGGTAGCAGGTTCGAACCTGGCGAACAACTACTACAGCAATTTATTCCAAAGCAGCGGAAATCCATGAAATAGGTATTATTAATATTAACAATGTGTTTACATATAACGAAATAACATCCAAGAGCAGATAGAGCTTATGTACAATCACTGTACTGCCAATATGCTCTACAAAAGGCAAGAGAAAAGAAAATAATGTAGGTCCACATCACATAACTCCCTTGAATTCGTCTTTTTTGTATAATATTTTGTAAAACAAGAATAATCATAAATAAGCCAATTTGTTTTATCTAACATTCGTCAGAATTTATAAGCTACAGCAAAATACATGCTTAAAAAACCTACGCTGCCTTGTAGCCAGCGCCTACGCCGTAGCAAAGGCGTCTACGCCGTAGGCTTTATTTCATTTTACATAATTATAAGGATATCGTTGCTAGAACACACAGAGGCTATTTTGTGGGAGTCAAAATAATCCTAGAGGCCACAAATATATAGTTGCTCTTGCACGGCCACGATAGCTTTACGTGCATTATTACATTATGAATCTCTACTAAAAATGACTACTGTTTATGCAAAACTATGCTTTTGAATAGCAACTATTATATGTGAAACGCTGTGTGACATCGCCTCTACGCGCACTGGCGCTGCTCAAGATTAAGAGTACTCTTGTAACTTGCTAGCTTTTCTAACTCACAATAAATTATTACAATTCAAAAATATGCATCTTCACGAACTAAAATTTTCAAATGCGACAGTCAGAAACGAAAGTCCATCAATAATGTATACGCATAAATATTCCTATAATAAACCATAAAACTATAATAAATATCTAAGAATCCACCACACATCACTAAAAATTAACATAAAAATCATACAGCACTCATTACACCAACCACTTCGCCGCTACTAAAAAGTAATTTAAATCAATTTCATCTAAACTTATGGGCTCTTAAACTAAAAATCTCTCCATCCCACATACTGACATAAACGTCAATCAAGATTGAGTGCTGTACGAAGAACCGTCAAACTAACTTGACGTATGACGTGCATCCGGCTGTCAAACTGCGCTGAAAGGTTTTACGCTCTCTTTTATGATTAGGTCAGCAATTTAGGTGTTTACTGTTCAAAAACTAGTTAACAGTTAATAATTTTATACTATTAATATTATAAATTTATGTGAAATTTTCTAAATATAGGTGCATTGGTGGATGTTACTATTTCAACTAATAAGTACTGAACGGTACTGAATGAAAGTCACTGAAAAGGTTATTTTTTTAGTCTGGTACTGCGAACGGAGCTGTTGGCGGAAGTTAGTTAACAATAAAATAATTATTTTTTTATTCTAGTTTCTAAGATGGTTAGTACTATTACCCAGTCCATAGCAGGACAATTTTATATCAGCCTTTTTGCCATTGCCGTTGTCAACTTATTGATTTATCTGGTTAATTAACATGTGGGTCTGTAAAAATTACTAACAAAACATAATCATTTATTGGTCAATCAAAAAAGGTCCGCGCACATATTAATCTGTTATTTAACGTTTATTAAAACAGAAGTTAGTGGCCGAGAAAATCAAAGAAATTTACTTCAAAAGACCGATTCATATTACTTTGTAAAGCCTACAAAAGATATGTTTTGTATTTCTCTCTTGACATTCGGATAAGTAGACATATATCCCCGACAGATTGACATCTCACCGTTAGCCTTTCTCAGAGGTTAAAGAGCTATAACAGCGAGATGTCAGTATCGAAAAAATAAACTGTCTAGATGTGGAAAAGCCTCTGATCACCGATTTGTTTTGTTTTCATAGAGAAGTTAGACAAAAATCGACTATATCGTCACAATACGTGATTGAAAATTGAGCTGAATCATATTTTTTCAACTTAACCATAAATACTTTTGAAACGTCAAATAGAATAGTATTCTGTCAGTCTGTTCGTCAGTAAAGCTAGGCGCTCGTTCCAAATTGTAGATTCAAATCGAAAAAAAAATTCGTTATAATAAATATTACTTACTGACTTAAGTTTAACTACGAGTTACCGTGTTAAACATTGTACATCCAACCAAAGAAAATCATAAGTTAAGTCCAGATAGAGTATCTAATACGATTGTCTTAACGCCGTATTAAATTTTTACTTAATAAGTTATTTTTTGGGAGGGGAAAGTCATCAAATGGCTTTACTCGCCCAGGGTGAGGCGAGAGGGAGTATCAGACTCTTATTGACTAAAAACCGCCCGTTCCTTCTCCGCTGGCTGCTGGGGCCGCGGGTACCTTAATGCGCTTGTCTCGCAACTCTGGCTGACTTAACCAGTCCTTGAGAACTGTTTTTGGATGGTTATGTTGACACTTGGGTCAGCTTGAAGTTGTAATGCTCTCTTAAAAGTCTCATTTGGTGGTGGCACAGGCACTGGATCACTTGATCCCCTACAATATAGTTGAGTTAGGAATTGCATGTCATGTTCGTGAAATAGCACCGTCAATTGAGACTGATCAACTCAAAACTTAGCGTTTAGACATTTTCTGTTTATACTTTATAATATATTATAAAAATCTGGTTGTGAAACTGCTTAAAAAAAAGTAATCATGAAGTTTCTTGCCCGTTTTCCTATATCGAAACCTAAACTTTGGAACGACTGACCAGCAGACTAACACATTTTTAAAAGTCATACGAAAATATAAAGACTTTTAAAAGTGAAACTAAGATTTAAACGTAAATAAACAGACATTCGTCTCATTGAGATAAATTATTTGACATTGATTTTGACCGTAACGACAAACGAGATAGTGACGAAAAGCACATGACCATAAAATATCTATATGACCATAAAAAATCTCATACAGAACAGAAAATGTCTTTAAATTTAAAATTATGTCTTAAATATAATATGTAGAATAATATACCATAACACGTTATATATTATATTTGACAAAACCATAATTCATGAAAACCTGCACCAATACCAATCCAATCCATTTTGGCTGGCGTGTACCCATCGAAATGTCTTTACTTTGTTGACAATTGTAGTTTTCCACTTTTAATACAGCCTTAGCCAGTTTACTTTCAAAGTTTCTCAGGCTTAGAGCCAATAAAGTGAAAGTATCTGAAAAGTTGGCTGCATTCAGCAAAATACATATAAATCCATTTTATAACATATGTGACACGATAGACATATCAAGCGATGTATTTTCAAAGCATCAATTGAATTTGGAAGTAGGGATATATCAGGTTCAAATATTTTCATCTCATCTCTTCGTAGACAAACAGGGACGAGAAACCCGCAAGCCGCGACGACAGCAAAAATAATTAAATAAAAACACCGCATTTCACGCAACCGTATTTACTGGCCTTACACCAGAGACAGTACCCTCTCCGGTCTAACACAACGTTTACTCCCCAAACCCCAACAACTCACGCAACTCTACAGATGAAATATACACGAAATTAAAACGGTTGTAAAACGTCAATTTCAAGTTAAACATTTTACGGTGTCGAAACGGCAAATCGACGCCATGACACATATTTTCCCGCGTTCATATTTAATGGCGTCGACAGGTGTCAGATATGCGCAACATCTTGTTAAATGGTAACTGATGCATTCCAGCGCTGACCGATGACGGACGATCAATACTTTTGAATAGCTTTGATTGGCTCATAAATGTATAATGAATGTGCAAGTACTCACCCCAACGTTGTCATTGTCACTATGGTGTACCAGAAGGCAGCGGGAATGGATGTGAAATTAGTATCTTGTTCGTTCTTCTCAGCGTAGAACATGACTGTGGCGAAGATGATAATCGCCATTGCCAACGAAAACACCAGGAAACCCAGCTCACTGGCGCACGACTTCAACGTGTACCCCAGGATCCGCAGCCCCTGAGAGTGCCTGGAGAACTTGAAGATACGGAACACTCTGAACACTCTCAGGGTCACGAAGGCTCCGGAGACATCATCGTTATCAGTGATCCCGAGCCCGATGTAGTACGGCAGGATGGCGACCACGTCTATGATCGACATCACGGATCGCACGAACTTGCAGCGGTCCGGCGCTGCGAAGAGTCGGAGCAGGTACTCCGCGGTAAATATCATCACACACGCTGTGTCTAAGCAGAAGAACACGATTTTGTATCGCTCGCCACAAGGCAGGGTCCCCGCACGGCCGGGCCGGTGGCCACACGGCACTGTCTCCACTACGTTCGCCATCACCGATACTGCGATGAAGAACCCAGTCACATAGTAAAATACCAGAGCAGCAGTCGAAGTATGGGGGTTCTCGAACGCGCGCCACATCTTCTGTCGCAAGTCTGTCAGTTGAGGCAGGCTCTGATCTCCCGCTTCACTTAACTTATCGTCCATCAGCCTTTCGGCATTTTCACGTTTCCTATCACGGTAGTCCTCATAACAACAGTCTCCGATCACATCAGGTAGGATCCCAAAGAAAGCCAACTCCTCGTCGTAGCCCGTCAAACACTCGTGTTTGGGATAGTGCAACTTGCCAGTCCTGTAATAGTTTAGTATGTGCCGGAATATGTCTGGATCTCTGTCGAAGAAATACTCTCTGCTGTCCTCGTCGTAGAAGAATTCTCTCTCGGTGGAGCCGAGGAGCGAGTCGGGGTATTTCTCGAGGGTGTTCCGCCATGTCTCAAAGCGTCGTCCGGACACGTTGATAAGGAGCTTCTCGTCTTCGGCGCGACGCCGGTCCTTAGGGACTGGGGGTGGCGGTAGTGGGTGTGTGGCTATGGGAACCCATCCGATGGCGGCTGCTCGAGCGAAGGGCAGCCAAGCGGCGACGGACGCCATGGCGCGGGCGGCGTGAGCGGCACCGCCGCGAGTACTGATGCCCCCCCTCGTGCCACTATTTCGGGCCGCCCAGATGAGCGCAGTGTTGCCACACGCAAAGTTCAATTACGAATATAGTTGGTCATTGTTTTTTGATCTATTTTTGTGTGATTAGTCTGATTGTGATGTTTACTTGTGTGTAATGCATTCGTTGGATTACTTAGATTGTGTTTTGTTGCATAGTTTTGTTGATTTTACACAACATTACGTGACTAAAATAAAACTTATTTAAAACCAAATGATGCGGTACCTGATTCTCAGGAAAATAATATTTACAGCTACTTTTACTGCTAGCTTGTTGAAGCAAAATAAACAATCCACACAACAGAACATTCAATTCTAGAATTTATTATCGTTTATTCAATAACTACTAATACAAAATCAATTAACTTATAGTCAAAATAATACTCTTTAAAACTTGTTTCACACAGTTTCCAAATATTATATTATTGATATTTAAAAACTTTTCATTTCAATACCAAAAAAACAAAAACGAACCTACACGACTACAGTTAAACAAACCCGTACAAAAAGACTAGTAACTTTTGAAATAAAAATTTTCTCCGTTTCCCACAAATTAGTGGAGATTTCCCCGCACCCAGCAACCCTATCCCGGGTATAAGCGCAACGCGCCTGCGTACAACGTGACGTCACTGACTAATAAATTGATTTTCAGCTAGCCATCTCTTTCAGCCGTCAAACGAAATACGTCATGCCATCTCTCTTACTCACTTTCCAGCTCTAAGTGACCTTTTCTATGTATATTTTTCAGTTTTCTGAAAAGCTTTTTGTCTTCAGGAAGTGAAAAGACCTGAATTTAGCTTAAGGCTAGACTTTATTTTTTAACACCTTAAATGAAGAAGTTAAGCGGTTGGGGTTAAGGTTTGGAAAAGGATGGGTGTGCGCTTGGGTTTTTTGGCTATGACAATAAACTGTTGCAGACTGGTTTTTCTTGGTTGTGGATGGGGTATTTGATTTTTATTGTTGGTCTCGTTTAATGTTACTTTATAAATTTAAGGTGACTTAAGTTATTGTTTTTCAATAAAGAGATCTTTTTATTAACAAAATGTAACAATCGAGCTTTTACTTTCGTGCTTATGTACACAACTATTCAAGATTCGATTCTCGTCTCAGTACATTTTTTTATAACTTTACATTTTAAGTGTTAAACTCTCCATTACTAATAAATTTAAAAGCACTTACCTATTACAAAAAAACTTTATGTGGTACAAGAATCAAACCCAGTCCCTTCAGAAAGTCAAGTGGTCATGAAATTCCATAGCTGCCATATTCCATAACCCATAAGATTGACATTATAACATTATCCCCCACTCCATACAGTGGTACAAGCAGACTTTATGTATTACGGGCTCCCATAAGTGCATATACCCATAAATCTATATGCCATACCACAAAAATGCAACTTACATACAATCAAAAAAATATCAACTCTAACCTTATAGAACTACAGTCGATTTTACAGTTTCGAAATGCAATAAAAAGGTCGTAAGAATTCTAATGTTCAGGGTAAATTAGAGTCTATTGTAAACGTGTTAAAGATCATATTTGATAATTATAATAATTTCTAATGAAGTGTGAAATTCGTGTAACATTTTGGTATGTGTAGAGCTTTTATTTTCTTGGCAGGAAGGGTCATATTCCAACTACTTGAGGGCTCTTCGTATACGCTTGACCGTACTTCTAATCTTAGGGATACATTTCCTTACGTGCTTTTGTCCATTTCTTTGACATAAACATAACGCCATTTCTCTTTGACAGGGCAAGCAGAGATGGTGCAGTTTATTTTTTTATGTAATACGTCTTTTTTTATTGAATGCACGGTTGGCGCGGCTCAACGTGTCGCGGGTTGGATTCCCGCACGGAATAACTCTTTGTGTGATCCACAGATTGTTATTCCGGGTCTGGGTGTGATGTGCATGTGATATTGTATGGTTGTAAACGCACCCACGACACAGGAGAAAATACTAGTGTGGGGCAATTTAAAAAAAATAAAAACCTCAGCAAACGAGCTGGAGCAGACGGATTACTTGATGCAAGCAATTGGATTATAAAAATGGGCACCCGCAACAACAGAGGAGTAACGTGTTTGGAGTTACGTGTTTTATATTTACATATACAACATTGCAGCTTACGCCATTAAGTTGTATTGTTAATTTTATATATACTATTATCTAGGTACTTTTTTTTTTAATCTTTATTTTATTAAAAGGGCTTTTTTCCATACAGAAGATTTCAGCCCTATTATTGTGTACAAAATATTATCTAGGTACTTAAAAAACTAATTAGGATTAAATACAAGAAAAACAATACAAATTTAAAAAACAAAATAAAAGTACTTAATACAACTGAATAACAAGATGGGTGATCATAGTAATCTTTAACTAAAAAAAAAAAACAGGCCATGTGGACGAAGTCGCGGGCGGAGGCTAGCTAGTGAAAAATTAAACGACCTCTTTTTACATTTAAAAATAAAAAAAAATGCATAAACTCAAAACTTGGTATACCTACAGATAAATTTATCCCACGACCTCAAAGGAATAAATAACTTAATCTTATAAGTCGAAGTGTCAATATTGCTTAACCGTACTCCAAAGGCTTTGACAGGATTACAAAGATTTGCGTAGAACTGAAATCGAACCCACTTATTGAGTTAGGAATTATCTTGTTATAATAATAGTGGATCTATTTTTGATTGTATCTTCTTAAGTTCAGTAGTTTCGTGTATCAGGCAGGAATGGCGTCGGATCGGTTTCGGAGTAATATTTTAGTATTTGTTTTATTTAAATTTTTTGGATTTTGTAGTAAATAAGGAACCCTTATCGTTTCGACATTTCCGTCTTTCTGTCTGTCAGTCCGTCCGCGGATAATCTCAGTGACCATTAGCAATTGAAAGCTGAAATTGGGCACCAATATCATGTATTTCAATCACGTCGACAAAGTGGTAAAATAAAAAGTGAAAAAAATATTTAAATTAGGGTACGCTTCAATACTCAAATCAGAACCCTAATCCCCAAAAGGCTGCTAATTCACTCGTCATTCCTCGATGTTGCGCATGTCTATGGACGGCGCCAATTGCTAACCATTAGATTTTATTAAGAAGATAAGTGTGGGAGAGCTAAGCTTCGGCACGAATAGGTCGGCTCGACCGGAGTTATACCACGGCCTCACAGAAAACGGCGTAAAAAAAACCACAGCTTTGTGTTTCGCCGTGTGATTGAGGTTACCGGAGGCCCAATCCTTCTCCTCCCCCGATCCATCCCAATCCCTAAATCTCCAAAACCCTTATCCCGAAAAGGTCGGCAACGCACTCGTTACTCCTCCGTTGCGGGTGTCCATCGGCGGTGCTGATAACTTACCATCAGGCAATCCGTCTGCTCGTTTGCCGACCTATTTAATTCTATTAAAGACTTTTCATCTTAATTTGGCAGTGACGATTAAAAATGCCTTTTTATAGAATTTACTTAAATAAATGCTTTGACTTTGAAAAAATAGCTATCAGCCAGCTACACAGCTGCAGAAAATATCGGCAGAGGCCCAAATACTAGCCACCAGTCGGCCTAACGAAGCATTTTTGCTTTTGCTCGACGTTTCGGCAGGATTACGCCTCCATGGTCACAGGCAGACTTTGCTAGTAGGTATGTGCGCGTTAAACTCTGTCAAACATTAAAGTATTACTATGGTACGCAAAAGTTTAAAGTATAATATCAGGTAATAAGTATGTCTGCTCGTTTGCCGACCAATACCATAAAAAAGTAACCATTTTCTTCAACAGACAATATACTCTTCAACCTCGTTTTTTCATGATATGTATTGTTCCGTGCAAGCTAATTATTGCTTAAACTTATTGTATGCGACAGTCAAAGACACTCGCATTGTGTACTTTAACTGAACGAATGTATACACAAGTAGGTATGTAAGTTCAACCCTTTTATGAAACTACGGTTCGTATTAGTGTTACACTTTAAACATAGATGGCGTTGACTTATCTGTTTAGTTTCAAATATACGCGTGAAAGTGAAAGCTGCAAATTTTGTTCTTCGAGTTAAAGTTCTAGTTTTCTACTTTTCAAGCCATACATAATAAAATAACTAAAAATAATTTCAAAAATGACTGGTATGTGTGACGAAGAGGACTCACACCGAAAATTCTCTCACACCTAAGAGGGTACAGGGAACACACAGTAAAGATTCCTAGGATCGAAAAAGGAGAATCCTCCGACCAGACATAGAGGCACCTCTCTATGTCTTACTCTGTTCCCTAAAAAGGTATGAGATAATTTTCACTTTACAATTTTGACTTTCAAAATATACCTTATTATTTACCCAACCCTGTTACACCATATTGCTATGCCCTACGTGCCATAAATTGATCTCACACAAATCATTACCACCTTTATATGTACCTACTTATGGTAAAAGCAATAAAGATATTGAGTACTCTCACGCGGTTTCACCCGCTCATCGGCTCCATTTGGTCGTAGCGTGATGTTTTATAGCCTATAGCACTTAGGAATATTGTAGCTATTTATCAGTGAAAGAATTTGGGCAATCTGACCAGTAGTTTCAAAGATCACCCCCTACTAACAAACTTACTAATTTTACCTCTTTATAAATCAGTATAGATTAAGTATTTCGGGATAAAAATAAGACACATATATTTTGTAAAATGTACATATAATCTTACATAATAATCACGAACTATTTACATCGGAAAGCGCACTATTAAGTACTATACATACACAAAAATATTACATTTTTGCACATTTCAATCGTAATGTAAGTGTCAAACTTGTTTAGTAGTTACAGATTACGCGAAAAACTTACGTACAGCTTACGGACAGCCACGAAAAAAATAAAAAAAATCCAGACAACAAAAAAAAAATAGTTTCTGTATTGAATTAATTTTTTGTGCGCAATTTTTTTCATACATATCATTTATTTTCACTTAATATTATTTGAAAT